AACACTCTTGGTAATGAATTGCATTGGGAAAGTCAGCTGTGAGGGACCTCTCAAGAGTACTGAAGAGCAACAATGTCAGGCTGGAGACTAAGGTGTGCCTGATCCAGGCTATAGTCTTCGCAATTATGTGCTATGCATTAGAGAGTTAGACAGTGAATAGGGATGATAAAAAGAGAATTGATGCGTTTGAGCTGTGGTGCTGGAGAAGAGTGTTGAATACACCATGGACTGCTAGGAGAACAAACAGGTTTTTCCTGTCAAAGATGAAACTGGAATGCTCCTTGGAGTCAAGGATTCTGTAGCTTCATCTGACATGCTTTGGGCACGTTTCAAGGAGGGACTGGTCCTTGGAGAGGGTCATCATGTTTGGCAGAATAGAGGGGCGGTGCAGGAGAGGAAGAACTTTGATGAGATGGATCGATTCTGTGAGTGGTTTGGCACAGGATAGAAGGGCTTTTAGGGCTCTTGTACATAGGGTCACTGTGAGTTGCAGGCAACTTGATGGCACATAACAACAATATAAGACAGATATCAGATTAAGAAAAGATGTAATCCATACACAAACAGAAATTTATCTATACATGAAACCTGAATAAATCATTAGCAAATCAATGTTAAGAGAACAATACAAGAAACTTCCCTGGTGATAGGTCCCTCAATTTGGGTTCCTTACTTCCTTGGCTGCAGGGCCATCTGAGGGACCAAAGAGAACAAGAGAGTTTGAGACACCGAACCACAAGCAAGGGAAAGACTTTCTCAACTTTCTGCAAGAGGGAGAGGGGATGACTTGAGATCCCCCTGCACACAAACTGCATAAGTTGGCAGCTCTGATCTCACACCACTCCTGAGGTAAAGGAAAACATTAAGCTTTAGGAGAGAAAGCTCATCAGGTGGGACACTGCCGCCCAGAGTGAGCACTTTGGGATGCCTGTGGGGAGACAGGACTGAAAGTTCCCTAGGTATAGATCCCTCCATTTGAGGTTCCTTGTCTCTGTGGCTGCAGGGCCATCCCAGGGACCAAACAGGGAAGAGAGTTTGGAACATAGAGCCACACGGGAAAGACTTTCTCAGCTTTGTGCAAGAGGGAGGGCTGACTTTAGATCCCCCTGCACATAACCTACTTAAGTTGATGGCCCTCACCTCACATCACTTCAGAGACAAAGGAAGACATTAGGCTTCAGGAGAGAAAGCACGTGAGGTGAGACACTGCCGCCCAGAGTGAGCACTTTGGGGTGCTTGTGGGAAGATGGGACTGAAACTTCCCTGGAGTTACAGGTCCTTCCATTTGAGGTTCCTTGCGTCTGTGGCTGAGGGGCCATCCCAGGGGCCAAATAGAAAAAAGATTTTAGAACACATACCAACAAGAGGGGAAAGACTTTCTCCGTTTTCTCACCTGGCACATTGAGCTGCAAGAAAAGAAAGCTGACTTGAAACTCCACTAGACAGAAACTACTTGAGTGGAGCACCTAGTCTCTTACCACTCGGCCACTCAATAAACAAAGGAGGACAATAGAGTTTG